ACTGTTAAATACAATAATGCCACTGCTAAATACAATAATGCCACTGCTAAATATAATAATGCCACTGTTAAATACAATAATGCCACTGCTAAATACAATAATGCCACTGCTAAATACAATAATGCCACTGCTAAATATAATAATGCCGCTGTCCTCACTAAAGCTACAAGCATCTGAAGGGATTACCTAGAATGCTTTTTTTGTTGGGTCTTTAATCTAACTCTAACCTCTGGCTATTTCTGTACCTTGCTTATAAACCTTTGATAAAACTCAGACTAGTAATACAACTCGCCTATTAAAGGTGTTAATAGTCATAATTGTATATGCTGTGTATGCCACGCTCGGTAGTATTAACATAGACACCGTCAAAGTTTACCGAACGCTGGATATTCTGCACACTTTGCGCTTATTAAAACAACGGGAGATGCATTCTCAACATTTTGACCTATGCAGCTGTGTACTAATTTTAAGAATCAACCAACATTTAGGCGAGTTACAAGTAACTGAATGTCTTAGTGTATACCTCAAATGGTTTTTGAAAATATAATGAGCAACTTTTAAACAATATTTCTCGTTGTCGCAGATTTTGCAGAAGGGCATATTGCTGCGTTTCGACCTATGTCTCGCGATAGTTGATTGGAATATGAATAGATCTTGCGTTATTTTGTGATAACCTTGTTGCTCCGTAACGTGTACTTGGTATGATAAGAACTGATAACCTAAGCAAACGAGGCACGTGTTACTTCAAAAGAAAACGCCGCGTTGCGAGTCTCTTGTATTACTAGTCTAAGGATAAAACATGCAACCTTCTCTGTATTCAATGAAACAAACAACTATCTCAATATATTGTTCGCTTATAAAGACAGGTTTCACTCCACATACTGTGAAGTACTTTATTTTAGCTGGAATTAATTTTCGCTGAAAATAATTTCTTGGTGTATTGTATGGAATTGATTTTCACTGATTTCTGATGAGTTGAATGCAAAATATAGGAAAAAAGGTATTTCACTTGATTTTATTAGTCCCCGTTCGGACGAAGTCCGAAAACGGGGACTTATAATATGGTCTTCGTGTGTCTGTGCGTCCGTCCGGAGTCATATCTCAGAATCCCTTGAACGGATTCCGTTCATTCTTTGCATGTGCCTAGTACTTCATGTGGGACATATGCACATGCAGTGGTTTAGCGATTCAATTCAAAATATCCGACTGGCAGCCATCTTGCTTTTTGAAAATGTTGTATTTTGGACATGCTTTGTCAGTTTTCATTCAAACTTGGTACATAGATCATACATGCTAGGATACATGTCCACGACAATTTATTTCACAATTGGATCAAAGATGGCTGACTGGCAGCCATCTTGTTTTTGACTCCCATGTGCGAAGCACAAAATGGGAGTCTTTGCAGTTAGTGTGTCTGTATGTGTGTATGTGTGTATGTGTGTATGTGTGTATGTGTGTATGTGTGTGTGTATGTGTGTATGTGTGTCCGACTGTTCCACTGCTATCTCAAGAACCATACATCGGTTTTTGATGAAACTTGGTGCATAGATGCTCTGGGC